TTAGCTTCCCTATTTGGCTCTGGCTAGCAATGTCCAAGCAATTGCTTGGAGGTGGGAATCTGTCATATTCCCTGGACTTTGTGCTGCTGCACCTGAAGTGGAAGAAGGTTGCTCTTGTGGGGCATGCCAGGGATGGAGTCCTGCATTGCCGCTGCCCAAGCAGAATCTCTCTTCCACCCCATGTGCTGTATCTGCATGGGGGAAGGTTACTGGTTGCCCGCACTTGTGCCATGAGCATGTGTGGATTTCCTTTCAGCTTGGCTCACTTTCTAAGACTGGGTTGAGCACAAGAGGAAGTCTGTGAATGTTAGATGGACAGATTCTGGAGAGTTTTGTAATACACGGGGCTTCCTGTGCTGACTCTCCCCTCCTCTTCTTCTTCTTCCTCTGATGCTTCCTTCTCTAGGTTCAGGGAGAGAAAAGCACCTCTAAGCATAGATGAATTCACACAATTGTTGGGAATTTTTGAAGAAAAAATGTTTTTTTTATTAAATTTTTAAACTAACACTAAAAACATCAAACATCACATACATCGGATTTATTGGGTCAACCCCCTACTACGTATTTTTTAAAACATTCTAAAGTCAAATTCATATCTATAATTTGAAAACATTTCTAAGTTTACGCCAAGTCCCGTTTCTCCAGCCAGTTATAGAAAGAATCCCAAGTTCGATAGAAGTCAGTGTCCTCTTTCTGCTTCAATGATAAAGTCAATCTATCCATTTCTGTGCAGTCCAAGATCTTTCTTACAATCAATCCATTGGTGGGCAGCTCCTCACTTTTCCAATATTGAGCAAATGCAATCCTCGCTGCTGTGATTAGGTGCAAGAAAAAATGTTGAATCTTAATTGGAGAGGTAGATTTTTCTACAACATTAATTGCATGAATGGGTTGCAGACGGGATGCACAACTGATCTTCACCTTTGCACTGGTACAAAATTTCATCAGGAAGACTTATCAGCAGAGTGTTTGCATTGATTGGACTTCATCAGCTCACCTAAACACAACCGTTTTCTTATCCCTATTACAGATTTGAAACCCCCCCCCCGCCCCCAGCCTTTGAACATTCACTGCTAGCATCCTGCATGGGTGGGTTGCGGATGGTGCAGAGAGCAACAGTTTGGGTGGTACAGAATTCTTCCAGTCCTCAGAATTGAAATAAGAGATAGCATCCTGAATGTTCTTCCTGGAAAATGTCAATTCAGTTTCCCATCAGGAATGATTCATCATCAATCTCTCCCTAAACATCCCCAGGTCTCCTCCGATTGCATCACCCTGCAGTAATGCCATGAAGCCAGCTCACATGGGGTGGAAACGCTAGCAAGGATGATGACAGCATTTGCCAGTTCCACCCTTCTGGACTTTCCTGTTCCTGCTGAGCTTACCTGTAATTCTTACAGGAGCTGGTTGCAAATGAATTTTCCCAGAAATAATGTTCAGTGCCAAGTATTTTGGTGCCTGGTGCCTGGTTCTGGAATGGGAAGTTATGACCCATTACTAGGAGTCTTTGTTTAAGGCATTTCTATACTGTTCGATTAGCACAACACTCTTGGAACAGTGTACAGAAATTAATTAAAATATACCAAATTACAATCAATCTAAAAACAGATTTTAAACAGACTAATAAAACATCCAGTTGGCGTATAAGAGGTCCAACAGCCTGTCCCTCTCAAATTTCTATGATTCTGGAGCTCTTAATTAAGCTAATCAAAAGAAAAAGATAGGAAAATAGGTTGATGAAAGGAACACGCTTGCAAACCTGCAGGAGAGAAAACAATATTACTAAAAGCAAAATCTCTGGAATAGGTATCGGAAACAAGGTTTCACTGAAATGCAGTTTGTCTGATTGATAATTGCTTCCAGAATTAGCATTTATTAAGTATTACATTTATATCCTGCCTTTTCCTTCTTGCAAGGAAACAAGTCAGTTTACGTGGTCTTCCTGGTGTCTTGGAATTTTGTGGAGCTGCTAGCAGGGTGTTATGCCTCCAAAAGAGGAAATCCTGGTTAGTGTCCCAAACATTACAGAGCCAGGGTCTTTCTGGCAATACAATGGTAGGGTGTCTAGGAGGCATCCATAAACATACGCCGTACGCACATCTATAGGTAAGGGAAAGGGACAGAATGATAAAAAACAAGAAATTTTGTTGAAATTTCATCACATTGTACTTCTGTGTTACAGTGAAAACCCAGTTTGCACAAAATAGGGAACATTCTGCTTGGCATGATATATTTCCCATGGTGGCATAATTTATTAAGCTTCTGATCTAATTTTAGAATATTCTCCATCCTTAAGGCAGTGCACATACCATTGCGCTCCTAGTTTCCATTTTTATTTATCCACGTATTTCCCAACTTCTCCTTCTCCAAGATGGTTTATATGTTCCTCTTCCTTTCCATTTTAATGCTCCCAAGACACATGTCAGTTAGGCTAAGCTAAGAGTTTCTGACCGGCCTAAAGTCACCCAGTGGCAACCAGAAGTCCCAGTTCAGCACTAGCCAGATGGACCGTCAGCCCCTCGCCATGTGGACCCTCAAGACACAGGCTGCCAAGGGCTGACCTGGCGGAGCATCTTGAGAGCAAGGGGAGAGCTTGCGGCAGATGTTGCCGCTTGTGGGTGGCCACTCCAAGGCCATCCATCCCTCACTGCAGCCTGTTTCCCCAGAGACCTCCTGCCCTGTGGGGCAGCCAAAGGCCACCACCACCCATTGGTCCCCGTTTGGTAGCTGCTTGGGCCTGAGAGTCTGGCTGTTGGCCAGTTGTGTGAGTATTTGTAGCTGTAGGCTGAGGGATGATAATGAGTTGGTTTACTTTTGATTGCTCTATATTGCTGCTATTGTGTTCGAAACTTTATAAATTCTGTAGACTATTGTGTCTATTGTCTCATGTAGATGATTTGATTTTGTGTTATTTTTAATTTTTTTGTTTGATTTTTTAAATGTTTTATATTGTATTCTAATATAGCGTGCATTTTATTTGTTGGAAACCACTGTGAAAGCCTTTTTACAGCTAAGTGTTGGTAAAGAAATTTAAGTGATGGTAATAATAGCAGCATTCCAACTGCTGCATCAGAATTGGTACACTGATATTCCACAACTCACTCATCTTTTATTGTGGTTATGAAGTAGCTTTATTTTTCCTTAATTGCTAGCACCTAAGACAGTAATTTTTAAAGGATTTAGAAGGGGGCACCGTGGCTCATTCGTTCACCATTATGGCAGGTCCTTACAAGCTTGTCGTGCATTTATAATTCTCGCGACCTTTCCCAGTGCAGCTTCTGAGTTATTTTTTCCTACCAGAGAAAGTCCAATCATTTTGAGAGTAACAGAAGAGTGACTAAGACTTCACTGGCATAGATTAGTTTTGAGGTACTCTGCAACCTTTTTTAAAGAAATGTGGGTAGGTGAATGTATCACGGGAATATTTGATTATGCATTTATTTTTTTAATCAATCTTCCTCAAACTAGAGGGCACTTTTGAGAGGAATAAATTACTAGTAAAATAGCTATTTGCATGAAAATGTGATAGAATATTATATCCCTGTAATGTAATTTTAAAGGAAAAAACCTCTCTTAATTCACCATCATTCTTATATGGTGTAACACTTCCATTTTAGTATATATTTTTAGGATTTTATTTCTATATTAGCATGACACGAGTACAGTGTTAAGCACCTTTAATAGAAACACAGAAACAGAGTCAGAAGGGGTCTCTTGGGACATCTAGTCTGACCCCCAGCTCCAGCCAGCTCCACTCATGACATGCCCACCATGTGCATGTCCATCCTTAAACACCCTCACTGTTGGCCCTTCAATCACCTCCCGTGGAAGGCCATTCCAGACCCTTGGGGTCCTAACTGTCAGGAAGTACTTCCTGGCATCCACCCTAAATCTTGGTTCCCTGAGCTTTGCTCCATTGGAATGCGTCCTGCCCTCCACCATGGGGGGGGGGGGTCATGACCACCTCTGTGTGGCACCCCCTCATGTACCTATATCTTGCTCAGGTCCCCTCCGAGTCTCCTTCTCTCAAGGCTGAAAAGACCCAGTTCCCTCACTCTCTCCTCATATGGCTTCCCCTGCAAACCAGCCACCATCCTAGCGGCCTTTTGCTGCACTGATTCCAGCCTTGCTCATATATCCCTCTTGCAATGAGAGGCCCAGAACTAAACACTCCCACTGTGAGTGCACCAGAGTCATACAGAGAGGCAATAATACCTCTCTCAATCTAGAAGCCACACTTCTGGCTATGCAACCAAGGGTGGCGTTTGCCCTCTTCATCACCACGTCACACTGCTGACTCATGTTTAGCCTGCAGTCAACCGGTACCCTGAGATCCCTTTCCCAAGTGCTGCTCTCCAGCCACTTGTCCCCTACCCTGTACTTATGACACCCATTCCTATGCCCCAAGTGCAAGACCTTGCACTTATCCACATTGAACGCCATCCTGTTGTCCCCTGCCCACTTCCAGAGTCTGTCCAAATCCTTCTGGATCTGGAGTACCTGCTCCTCAGTTGTGGCCACTGCCCCTATTTTAGTATTGTCTGCAAATTTGATCAGCAAACTGGTCACCCCCTCTTCCAGGTACTTGATGAAAAGATTGAACAGGATCAGTCCCAGGACAGAGCCCTAGGGGACCCCACTCATCACTGGCTGTCATCCTGATGATACCCCACTAATAGTGACCCTCTGCTTTCAGCCAGTCAACCCTGCCCTAATCCATCATTTTTTATTTAAATAAAAAATTTCAACCAAAAAAAAAAAAATTCAACCTAATCCATCAGACAATGCATCGATCTATCACAACTCCTGACTCCAGGGATCCTGAATCTGTTTGCAGTCACAGATCCTGGACTCAAAGGACCCTCTAGAAAGTAATTCAGGACAGCCTCAGACCCATAACTGTATCTTCTCATAATGATAGGGGTATTGATTTGCATCAATATATATTTATTGATGACCTATGAATGATACAAAATATAGATTAACTTCTATAAATCTTGTTAACTTTATTGCATCCTGCTCAATTGTTGGCTCTTGTTCAATTATTTGCTTTATAAATACATGTATACCGTACTTAATATGATCACAGATTTTTACATAATGATTTCATTTAAGCTGACATGCTTCTAACGATTCATTGAGCACCATTAATCTCACTGGGTCCCACATTCAGCAGACTTCTCAGTAACTCTGCTCCTTTCGTTTGCTAACCATATGCCTTTTGTATAAGTCTGTGTTTCCACTGCAGTAGCTACTTACACATTGCCAAAACAGAGGAAATGCATCAACCAAAACAAGGGCAAAAGATAGCACAGATCAGCATAAAATTTACATATGCTAGTATATATGCAAATGAACCTACAGAAATAATAATTATAATATAAACAGGAAAATACAATGGATTTCTCCATAATGAACAAGGCTACTCAGGAGAATGTTGTTCCTCCTTCATCTGTTATCCAGGTGGCAACTTCTAAAGATCAAATTCCCACTGATGTTTTCCCTTCTTAGGGTTCTTATTCTTTCAGCCAAACCTGGACTGGAAAGCCCTTCAAATAGAGAACTGCCCTTTAGAGAAGTGTAGGACACCTGGCCACTTTTGGCTTAACCTCTCTGCAAAAGCTACCCTTCCAGTTCCGTTGAAGCTGACAGATGATTTGATTCATTCCTCTTCAAACATGAGTCAGATTATGGAGGAGCTTTCTATTCCAGCAGCGCACCTTAGAACACAACAGGTGAGCGCTCAGTAGGTGGTACTGTCTGTTATCACTGAGACCATTGACGCTGGCTTGCTCCAGTTCTGCAGATGTAACCCAGATGTGAAGACTGCTGTCTGGGCACTGCTTTGCTGTACTGCCCATGCAAAGGTCTCTTGTGCAGGAGAAAGACCACAAGCAGCACACCCTTAAACACCACGCCTTTCTCTATTGCCTCTTAGGCATTCTGCTGCTCCTGTACTTTTCCGGATCTGGGCAGGCCACAGTCTTTTTCTACAGCTAGTCCACATTGCAAGTACTGCTCTGTAAACAAAAGCGAGTTGTCTGCATAAATCTAGAAAGGGCTTCATTCCATTGCACATGGAGTACATTATAGTTAGACAAATAGGCAGATAGATACATAGATGATAGGTATTTGCTTCTCCTTCATTTCCCCTTGAACACACATGGTCCAATCTATTTTTGCCTTTTTTCAAAATAGAAGACCGTGTTCTTTGTTTCTCCTTGTTGACTGAGGCCAAGTGGCTTGTCTGGCTCAGATGATGTGCTTAGGTACCAACCGGGGAACTCTGCAGATTCAAAGCTGCAAGTCTCTGAGCCTTCTGGAGTCTTGCTGTAGAAGGTGAAACTCAAGAGCTGCTCATTCTTTTGGTATAAGTCCTTGATGTCTGTCTCCTAGGAAAACACAAAGAATCACGTATAAAGAATATTGTAACAGGACAAGAACAACTGACTTCAAGTCTGAGGGTCCTAAACCAAGTGTCTTCTGGGATACTCTTCTTGGATCTGCTTGGTTATGATGGCAGCACTCAAGCAGAGCTTGCCAGCTGAGAAGAGCCACCCTTTTTAACATCCATGCCCTAGAGCAGGGGTTGGCAACCTGCAGTCCTCCAGATATTCTGGTCTACAGCTCCCATCAGCACTAAACAGCATAACCAATGCTGAGGTTGGATAGCAGTTGTAAGCCAAAACATCTGGAGTTGCCCAGCCCTGCCCTAGAAGTATTGTGGGAGATTCAAAGCGTGGCTAGATCCATTGATGTGTATATTTGGGGTGCCAGGCCTGAGGTGGAAGGCAGAGAGCATAAACTTCAGAGAAGATCCAATGACCCTGGAAAAATACATTTTTTAAAAAAGAGGAAACAGAATCTTTTTCTACTAGCTGGTAAATTTACTGGGGTGGAAGGAACAGAGCAACCCAGAGGTAAAAGTATAGGAACAAAGCAGGGAGAGGATGTCTCTCAAACCCCTGCTCAAATAGGGGATCAGAGCTTCAGTGGGCAGCAGCTGAAGAGGTGAAAAGAGAGATGACATAGAGCCAAAGAGAAAGAGAAATGAACACAGACAGAAAGGTAAAGTCAAATCCAAAAGAATTAAAATGGATTCCCTTGAGTTTGGCTATTTGGATATTTTTACAACAAATTCCGCACCCAGCTCAAAACCACTTTCAAATTAAAGCCTGCATTGGTACTTAGATTTTGGCCCCACAAAAAAATCTAGCCCTTGCCAGTATTTCCCCCGGAAAGAATTGGATCTGTAGCGTATATCCTTATGGAGCCTCATTTTTTACTAGGATTTGTTACCATTGCAAACAGAAGATTCTGTGAAATGGCCGGTGGCTCTGTAGGCATTGCCCATGAACTCTGAGGCTCCTGGAAGACCTGCTGCCTCAAAAGTCAAGGTTTTCATCACACGGCAGCACGACCAGGCAGTGGATCTGTGGCAGTGACGATGCAGCCTGTAGGCTCGGCATAATCAACCATGCAGTGGCTATTGAGGGAATCCCATACTAAAATCATGCAAATATTTTCAGATCCACTTTTAATCTCACTGGCCATTCCTCATTGCAGCCAGTGGGAGACGAAGCACACCTCCATTTCAACTGTGTTGTGGCCGGGCCTGTGGCGTTTTTTCAGATGTCTTAAGGTGCCCGTTGCCCAAAAGAGGAGGAACCCCTGGTGTGAAAAGTGACTGGTGAAAGTGTTGCACCAAAGATGTACGCGGCGCAAGAACAAAGTTGTAGTCTGGAGAAACACGTTTAGTTAGCCATTGCTTGTAGAAACTGGAGCACATCCACACTCTGGAATGTCTTTATCGATAAGTTTAGAAGCTGCATACCAAAGCTGTATTAGAGAAGCAGCACTGTGCTGGACAATGATTGGGTAGAACAAGTAGATGGTACATGCAGAGCTTGCTGCTTGGCTATTTGGATTGAATGAGAGACTGAAAAGGATAACTTGCTGCAGCTTGTTTTTAGTAAAAGCCTCGGAGAACTGTTGGGGTCTGCCTTTTGTGTCTCCCCTGAGAGGGCTGGGATTGAGGAACAAGTCCTCTCAGGCAGAAAACAAGTGAGCAAATATTTTTGCAGCAAAAGGATGTCTATTGCAGAGAAAATGGTTTGTGCAGAAGCATCTCTAAGACTTGGTACCCCTTTTCCCCCCCCCCGAGGGGAAAATATAAACCATGTAACTAAAGAATGTTGTGTTTAGCACAGCCTGAATCACAGTAGAGAGGGGACAAACACATACTTTCTGGGAAAAGGCAGGGTGGTTTTGGAGGGAGGTTAAGAGTGATCTTGAACTGCAAATGCACTCACCACTAGCTGCAGCTGAAGCTGGCCTGCGCCAGATTTCACACAGGAGAGCGTGGGCCGCCCAGTTCCAAGCCCCATGAAGATGGGTAGCTTTGTTGGGTCTAAGGCATTGTTGGGAAGCACAGTCATGAGTTGCTCTGGAGGGGGGAGCAAGACCAAGAAGTTGAGTCAGTGGAAGGCATTCTTCAAACTCTTTCTTGTTCTTCCTTTGAGAATAACATCACAAGGTCAGAAATGCATGGAAATCAGAGTCTGGCTAGATATGTACCAGGAAAGATGTCCTCACTGTCAGAGCAGTACAAAAATGGACCCTATTGCCTAGAGAGGTGGCAAGCGCTCTCACACTAGAGGCATCCAAGGCGCAACTGGGCAGCCCTCCGAGAAGGATGGTGTGACTTTTTTTTATTATTATTATTACATTTTTATACTGCCCATAGCCAAAGCTCTCTAGGCAGTTGACAGCAATAATCATAGAATCATACACTCAGGTCACCCATCCTACTTCTGCCCAGGCCTGACCCTGCTTAGCTTCCAAGATTAGGCAGGATCAGGCACTTCAGGCTACATGGAAGCTTGGTGCCCTGCACTAACAGAGGGTTGGACCCGCAGTCCTGCCAGCTCTAGGATTCTATGGCTGTCTCTCATGTTCCAAGAAGTGCAAGCTGGTGACAAACAAATTCTCATACATCTTCAATACTACTTAAAGGTTGCAGGTCCTGACAGTGACATTATCTGGCTTCAGAATTAATAAATGTGTTCCATGAGTGACTTAGAGCAAACAGAAGAAAAAGGTAGCAGTGTTACCTGGCGTGTTGACAGAACGTGGGCTTGCTACAAGCACATTGTTCTTCAGGTACAGGAACTTCTGGTTAACATCCCAAAATCTGAAGAAATAGGGTTCACTGTGACTTGTGACTGAATATATCTCTAAGGGAAAAATAAAGAGGGGGAGATACAGAATGATACTATATGAATAAATACCTACTACAGATGCACAACAAACACACATATCCAAACAAAGCAAATGTTATCATGTTACACCCAACCTGTCTGGCTCTGTATTTCACCCGCAGATGCCATATTCAATCTATATGTTGCCAATGTGATATGTACAGAGATGGGAAATGACAGGTTGGCATGACTGAATGGAAGGTCAAAAACATGGCATGACACAATCGTTTTTGTGTTTGTTTAGCTATGGATTGAAAGTCCAGCCAAGAGTTCCTGTATCCCTATGGGTTTCTTTCATAAGAAATCAACCAGACTTCAAACAGAAAACTGAATGCCAAAGGAATGCTACGCGGAAGCGCTACGGCTCGGATACATATACATCTCACTAAGCTGCTGGGGCTTAGGGCTCTCTTTGGGGCCCGCAATACCATTGTTGGAGCTGTCTTTGGAGCTGCAATACCATCTGCCTTGCTCCTCTTGGCTCTGGTGTGGTAGCTCTGACTCAGTCCCCCACCTCTGCTTCCACTTTTGTTCATGTGCAGATCCACCCTGCCCCAAGGATAACACCTGCCCCAGTGGCACCAGATCTGTCAAGTCAGAGCAGCCACTGAAATGTATCCTATTTTGTGATGCCCTCTTCATGCCAACCAGTTTCACCTGACTGAAAATTGAGTATCTGTGTTAACCTAGTTTAACTGACTTTTAAAACTAGTTTTTGCAGAAAAGTCAGAGGAGGAGAGAATTACAGGAGGGAATCTGCTGGTACAGCTGCAAACACAGGAAGCAGTTCTGCACTGAGCTAAGCCATTGGTCCATCTAGTCCAATATTATCAACTAGCTGTGGCTTTCCAGGCTTTCAAGCAGGAGCTCAGCTCAGGAGCAAGTCTTGCTGACTTCAGCAAGATCTGCTCCCAGTTCAGTGCATCTAGGATTGTACCAATGGTCAGGCTCCATGTCTAGCGGTATTCTTACCCCCACCCTCCGTGTGATACAATGCTTAGGACCAGCAATGTGCAAAACCAGACAAGAGGGTATGGGGAAGCACAAAGAACAGTGAAAACTTCAAGCAGGGTCCCAGTTGCTGGTGATTCAGCCCCCCCCCCCCCAACATCATTCAGGAGCATCCATTTATTATGTCAGGACTGTTCTCTGTTGACAACACACAATATTTTTACATCTTTAATACTTCTGAGATCTGCAATGGTGTAAGAACAACATTTTGGATCCATTCTGGCACTGGGCAGGTTTCAGAGAGAATTGGCATTAAATAAAGCATTTTTACCTGAATCATCAAATAATTCTTTCATTTCCTCATTCCAAGCTTTCTTGTGGGGCTTAATTGCCTGATCTTCCATTTTTGTGTCTGTTCTGATCTTCCATTTTTGTGTCTGTTCCATTTTTTTGCTAGTTCCGTTTCAAGGTCTTGGATGTCCACTTGCACTGGCAGCAAGAAACGTGGCAGGAGCTGGAAAAAAGGGCAGCACCGCAGAATATGATTTCTGATTTGCAGGGAACTGGCAGCATCCAAAGTACCCCAGACAAAGCCAGTTGCTGCTCCTTTCCTGATCAAAATACTTGTGTGTTCAGTTTCAGTGCAAAATTGAAGCGTAATTGTCCATTCTGCTGCAGCTCTGTTCCAATTGTTATAGAGTTTGGGGAGGGGAGTTTGTGAGGAAAAGGTTTAGTGGCCACCATCATCTGTGCCTTAAAGCAGTTTGCAATGCCAAGTCAATTTATGTATTCCTGGCCCAAAAAACCAAACATCTCTCTTTTGGTCTAGTATCAGAAATATGCAAATTTCCATACCAACTCTCCAGCCACACAAAGTTAAATGGAAAAATTGTTTACAGTACTCAGATCTCCCAATGCTGAAAAATGAGGAGCCTCTCTTTCATTTTCATCAGTCTATCAGCCAATGCTGAAAAATTAGGAGCCTCTCTTTCATTTTCATCATTCTATCAGCCATGCAGCTGGGAGAGACACAGCCCTCATGCCATTGTTACATCTTCCTCTCACTTCCCCCCAAAATCTGTTGACAATGATTTTCATTATTTTTTCTCCTGTTTTTTTTCCTGCTGCCAGCTAATACTGAATTATCTAAAAATGCATAGCCTGACTTTCCATTCTTTTTCAAAAATGCACACAGTATAAGCTTACAAACAAGTCATTAAAAACAGAATGTGAAAAATACATAAAACAGCAGTGAAATTCTTAAAGGTCAGTAAATCATAATAAGATAAAATATCTGATGATGGAGAAGGAGGAGATATAATCAGCAAAATATGTCTGCCATAGCCTGGGCCCCAGTAATGGTAGCGATAGAAAGGAAATGGGTCAGGGAGGTGCTCTTTGGCCTCCCAGAGAGACCCTGGAAGCAGGTGATCTAGCACAAGAAGAAAGCCCCAGGAAGCGACCAAAGAGCCAATACCTGTGCGGACGCAGTTAGTCCTATGCCCTGGACTGACCGTCTCTCTGCTGTCTCCTCTGCAAGGCACACAATTTATACCTTGCCCTGCATGACTCTAGCAGGGTGCTTCCCGGAGGAAATATGTGATGAAATCATGTAGGCGGAACTTATGACACTTCTGAAAACCAGTTTGTGGCAATACCAACCTCTGCATGCGGCGGCCTTCTCAATCGCTTCCAGTGGCTCTCACAAGCCCTTCTGCTGGCACCTGGATGATTTTCTCTGCCCCGTAGTCCACAAAGAGGACACTTCTATTGGGTGTCCTCCAAGGAGCATTGCACTATCATGAGTGAGAGGTTTCTCTTTTTGAGGCAACAGAGTACAAAGCGGAGGCAGCAACTGAGCTTCTGTGTGTTTGAACAGCTGCAGAGAACGGAGGATTTAGCTTTTGGGCTAATTTTGTCAGATTCCTCCCTCATGTTTGTTTCTGCTGGCTGTGAGGGCCAGGACGCTTTGCGCAAAGCAACCTGGGCAGCCGCAGGGAGTGCAGCTGCTCCATCCAGTGCCGAGTGGACCCACCTGCCTCCCCAGGCACAGCACGCACCCCTCTTTAGCTGCGATCTGAGAGTGAGGGGTCCCCCGCATGCGACGTCCTCACCTAACGGGTGGGAGAGCACATGGGGTATGCACAGGGAGGCCAGCTTTGATCTAGGGGCACAGGTCAGGGTTGCTGGAGCTGGCCTAATACAAATTCTAAATTTGGGAAAATAGAAAGCTTTGCCTGTTTTCCCTTCTCCCCCTCCCCCACCCCATCTGCAGGGTTTTTCCATGCAGGTTCCTTCTATGGGAAAGGACCCCCCTCCCCCCCCCCCGAGCCCCAAACCGCTCTCAAATGCAGAACATGGGCAGGGGGTGATGCAATGCAACTAGTTTGAGTATTTGAACATCGCATCCTTGTTTCCCTCCCTCAGACTGTAAAAAGCAAATATTGAAGCCTGTTAAATTCTGTAGTGCCTGGTTGTTTTGTTATGTTTTCCCAGTGTTCCTCAATGTTTCCGCTGTTTCCTTTGGTGCTTTTATTGTTCTTGCATTTCGCTCATTCAAGGTTTCATTCCCTTCCTTCTCATGTGAACTGCAAGTCCATAAAAGATTCCGGACATGCTCTGTTCTTAGCGGTCATTCTTAACTGCTACCCTTCAGTGCTGTAGGGATTTCTGTTGCTGTCAATAAAACTGTTGAGTCTTGATTGCACATTTCCGCTGAACCCCGAATCAGTCTGGAATCCTGACAGGGAGAACAGCAGCAGAGGCGCCTGGATTAGGCGTACAAGCAGGGGGCTCAACATACCTCTCTGCCTGCATGGCTGAGGAGCCCATGTCCAATTTAAAGAAGATCGGGGGGGGGGGGGGGGGGGTTGAAGTCGTTGGTGCACAGTTAGTGCCAAGACAGCAGGCAAAGCAGATGCACAGGGATACCCTGGTCGCAGCCTTCCTCATTAGGATATTGCATTCCTGTTTAAATAATAGTCATCTTCTTTAAAATGTGAGTGTGCATGTATATACATTAGCATATGTAAACTGTATACATAGAATCAGAGAAAAGTAGAGCTGGGAGGGGCCAGAAGGCCATCAGGTCCAGCCCTCTGCTATTGCAGGACACCACGTTATACCATCCCATACAGATGACTGTCCTGCTCCTTTTTGAATGTCCTCAGTGAGGGAAATCCCAGAATTTCCCCAGTTAATAGGTTCCATTGTCATACTGCTGTGACAGTGAGGAAATACTTCCTGGTGCCTAGTCTAAATCTGGTTTCTTTTTGCTTAAGTCTGTTGTTCTGTGTCCTGCACTCTGGAATGACCAAGAAGAGATCCTGGTCTTCCTTTTTGTGACAGCCTTTCAGGTACTCGCAGAGAGCTATCCTATCTCCCCACAGTCTTCTCTTCTCCGGGCCCAGTTCTTTAAATCTCTCCTCACAGGGCTTTGTTTCCAGCCCCTGGATCATCCCCGTTGCTCTTTTCTGAATCCTTTCCAGTTTTTCCGTATCTTTTGTAAAACTTTAGTGCCAGAACTAGATACTGTACTCCAGGTGAAATTTGACTAGTGCTGAGTACTTCGGGAAGCAGTACTTCAGGTGTTTTGGAAGTGATAGTTCTGTTAATACATTCCGAACTACTGTTTGCCCTTTTTGCAGCTGCATCACATTGTTGGCTCGTATTTAGATCAAGAGCCTTCTTATTTGCAGTATTGTTGGGCCATGTGTTCCCCATCTTGTGACAGTGCATTTTGGTTTCTTCTTCCTAAGTAGAGGACTTGGCATTTCATTCTGTGGTTCTCTGATCAGTGTTCTAACTTACTGATATCACACTGTATCTCAACTCTGTCTTTCAGGGCATTGGCCATTACGCCCAGAGTTGTGTCATCTGAAAATTTAATTATCTTTCCTTTCTTTGACTCTGCTGTGCCAAACAGAGACTCCTCCTCTGCAAACAGGAACAGAGTGCTTTGTTGATGCTATCTCTGCTCATGATTTGCATCCAGATGTGTCACATTCCTATTCAAATATCTGGAGTGTACCTGCATCATGAACCTCCAGAGTCTACCCTGGGCCTTGGTCTGTCCTGCCTCACGAAGGTGTCAGCTGCACTGGCTGAGCACACCTCAGCTCTTGCTCCAGGTCAGAACAAAAGATGCGGAATCCATTTTCTCCTCCACGGTTAGGATTAGAAAACTTGTTTTATTGTTGTCAACGAAAGCATAAAATGGCCAAGAAATTGATTTCTTCTCTATATACTACACTGTATTTCAGCAAACGGTAAAATGTCCTATAATGCTATAGATACATTAGGGAAAACTTTTTTTTAAAAAAAATTAGAAAATATCTAGCAGTAATGCTGACGGTGCCTCGGTTGCATCAGGGCTGCAAGCAAGCAGGTTGGCAAGACGATGGGTCTATGATAGGAGCTTTTTCTCGGTTTCTCATAGCAGTGCATGAGGGATTTTTGCTGAGATCTAGCAGGGGAGGAAGCTGTTAAAACTCTCCTTCCCATGTGCTGCTGATTTGATGGCTCCCACCCCTCCAGACACGCACCTTTGCTGCTTAACCATTTCCAGAGTCTGACCCTCTTCTTCAAGGTATGTTCGACACTGTGACTAAGCATGGCCCAGAGACCTGACCCATTGCAAAGAACCCATCTTAACCAATTTGACCGATGTACTGTAGTTGTGCAAGGCTGTGTCTTCACAATCCTGCAATAACCGCACTTCCAGGGAGGGGAGTTTTCCTTTCATCCTAAAATGTGAAAGGAGTGGTGACAGAGACACCCACTCCATCCACTCCACCACTTTATCATACTACGGTTTAATGTGCTCAGCCCACATCAAGTGGGAGCTACCTATGGAAAACTGTTCCGTTCACTCCCCAGTAATTGCTTTTCAAATGCTCCAGTCCAGCAGATACACTGCACAAGCACTGTTTTGCTGAACTGTGTGGGCAAAAGTCAACAAAGAATTAAAAGCAAAGACTACAAACAACTCCCGCATATTCTATTGGCTATTCCATGCCTTAGATCCTAATCAGTTGCTGGTGCAGATATATGTACCCTGCATGCTGTTTACTCCTAACCTTTCCCAGATCCAAGTCACTGTCTATACCTACTCAAAGTCCTAACTAAAAATTTGGCTTTTTAACCCACTCCCCACCCCATCACAATGGGTCCATAAAGCTACAAAAGACTTCATTTGAAGATGCTCTGCCAGGATCAGATATGTGAACTGCAGCATTTGCCTCTTTCATTTCCCCTTTAAAAGCAACAGTTCTGATCTATCGTTTTCTTTCAAAATAAAAGATTGTGATCCGAGAGCCTCCTTCAAGACTCAAACCAACAGGCTTGTTTAGCTCATTAGAAGTACTGATGAACCAGCCCGGGAAAGCTGCAGATTCAAAGCAACAAGTTTCTTGGTTGCCATCAGTCCTACTGTAGAAGGTGAAGCTTAAGGATTCCTCCGTGTTCCTATAAAGATCCATAATGCTTCTCTCCTAAGGAGAAAAAAATATATTGTCACAGTAGGAATACAGAATTAGCAATGATGATGATGGAAGTAGTAATTACAGTCCATCATCCCCCATGCTGAATAACTTGACAAATTAAGGAGCAATGCAGAATGAATCCCACAGCTATACCAAATGCAATGCATTAAAACAAGTACGAGTACTTTGCATTACATTGTAAAAGAGAGAGAGAGTACCATCGGTCATGTATTATTTTTTTTAAAAACCAATGGGAGGAAAACATAGCATTCCCTTATGCAGAATATACTGCTGTAGGGTGCAATTCCATCACAGTGATTGTAAGCTTCTAGCTCAGATGCTGACACTCATCCTATGTAGGTGGGAGGACCAGTAGAGGCAACCTGCATCTCCCCTGCATCTTCAACAGACAGAATAACTCACAACCTATACTCCTCCCCACCCACTGAAAGCCATCCTTTTCTGCTCTCCTGGGTCATGTTTCCATCCTTGGAGGATCCTTGGAGAGGCAGAAAGTATGGTTCTTTCCCAGCAACAACTGTGGAGGATGGGGGAAAGTGTGGATTTCCCACTGCAAGGTCAGAATGCTGTTCTTGGATCCACACTATGCTAATATGCTATGAGCAATAGGATTGCTCTGCTAATAAATCACCTTATTAGCTTACAACTAATACAACTTATTGTTCAACAGCGCGTCTTCTCTGTAGTACTGAATGACACCATCTCATTCTCTCTGGTGTCCAGGCCCCATATGCCCAGCCACCAAGAGTTTTTCAAATATTCTAACCAAATTGGCAGTAGTAACAAAGGGTTGGCTTGTGGTGTTGCAGTGGCAGAGAGTTCCTGAGGTTCTGAAATATAAGCATTTGCTAAAAATAAGAAACCCCCCTAGGTGGGTCTGCCCAATGAGGTAGTAGAGTTCCCACATATGGTGGTGGCAGTGTAAGGGATGGTCACTTGTAGAATTTAAAAAACGAATGACAATGGAAACTCACCATTAACTTTAGAGCAGGACGCCCATCAGCAGCTTTCACACTGGCCAGGGTGAGTGTCTCATCACCGAGGCCCATAAAGATGGGCTGCCTTACTGGATCTAAGGCGTTATTGGGGAGCACGGCCATCAACTGCTCTGGAAAGGAACAACAGGCAAGAAGCCAAGGTCAGTGTTGCAAGAGAAAACAGGGAGCATCTTCTAGTAATTATGGATAAAAAGCCATAGATGAAAGGGCAAGAGTAGGACTTTCAGCACTGGAAAGGCCCAGAGGAACAAATATGGACATCTGTGAGCGAGGAAGTGAGTCAGGCAGAGGGCAGCTGAGAAAAGGGGGCATTCATAAGGTCTCCTTCCAGGCAGCAGTAAAGGAGATGGGGCCAAGCAGGAAGGGCATATCCTGCATTGTCTTGGCCCAGGACTTGCAATTGTGTTCCATCAGTAACTGGGGGGGGGGGGGGGGCGCTGAGAAGTCCAAGCAGAAGAGAAGGATGCCATCAGTTACCTGGTGAACTGGAAGTCTGTGGACCTGCTATCAGTATGTTGTTCATCAGCAAGAGGAACTTCTGGCTAATATCCCAGATTCTATACAACCGAGGTTGCCTTTCACTATAGAGGTTAATCCCTGGTGTAGGCGCTGGGGGGAAACATGAGTGCATGTCACATGCAAGTAAAGGACATTTCCAAGGAACGAATACGCATCCTGTGGGCCTCTGAATACCATCTTGCACACCTGTCATTTTTCACTTATCAGGTGCACTGCACCTGTAATATGCAAAGCAGGGGACACAGAATGATTCTAAAGTTGCTTGTGAACAGGTGCCATTTCTCTAGTCACACAATTTGGATTGAGCAGCTCAAAGAACAAATCAAACACTAAAGGAAACGGCCGTTCCCCAAAAAGGCTAAAAGTGGAAAATCTCCCTGATTACAATAGTTCTGGCTTTTAAACACACTGTTTCAAATTGCTTTTAATTGAGAAGCTGCTATTATTATTATCACCACCACCACCACCAGTACCATGTATGTACTGGTGCTTATTTTGATTTATGGTTACTTTGTTTTCTCTTTTGTAGTCATTTCAGATTTCTGTATTTGTGTGTAATTTGCTCCAAGACTACTTTTCACATAAATGGTAATAATAAGCTGACATGTGGGCTGGTCTTAGATTATTCGTAATTAATTTGTATTTTAAGTGATTTGGGGTACAATCCTATGTATGTTTAGACAGAAAAAAATCCTGTAACTTCCAGGGTTGGGACTTGTTGAACTTTTTTTAGTCTAAACATCCATAGGTTTATACCTTTAATTAATTTTATCAGTCACTATTGATCACAATAGCCATTTTTTGTGATTTTGTTAGCTATTATTATCATTGCATTGCATTTATATCCTTCATCTTCTTTTACAAGAAAGCCAAGGTAGCTTGCAAGCATCTCCTCCTCTCCATTTTATCCTCACAACAACAACCCTGCGAGGTAGGATTCGGCTCAGCCGTGACTGGCCCAGAGTGGGCTTCATGGCTGGGTGGGGCTAGAATGCAGATCTTCTGGGGCCCCTTCTAGGACTTTTAACCTCTATGCCACTACTGACCTAAATAATGGTATTTTATGTAAAAAAAAATTTATATTTTTATGTCATCTTACTGTCCTAAAAGGTACCCTAAAATATTTTTAAATTAATTAGTAAATAGAAAGACACACTGTCCTATGAAAATTTGGAGCAGGGATGGTGATTCCATAAATCCACCTCAAAGCAACACTTGACCATAGTAGATGGGGATGCCGAGGGCCGTAGCCCAACATACAAGAGGTCACAAGGTTGGACGAGTCTGCTATAGATCATCAATTCATTATAACAAAGTACCTTAGAAAATATGACTAATATTTTTGTGGTATCTGTATTTGTGCATGCCCAGTATCTACTAGTTTTAGTAGATGGCAGATTTTGGAGAAACTTAACGTGAAAACTTCTCTTTGTAAATGTTTCTAACCTCATCGCTTATGCAGAAAGCAGCCATGAGAAGGACATAATTTCACTAGACTAATATCCCTTGTTTTTGTCTAAGATAATTAAATATAAAGTCCATTGTTGTACAACAATGGACTTTATATTTGAGCATTGAGCTAAATATTTGAGCATGCCTGTACATCTTGGGAACTTCTCCAGGACAACAGAAAGAAGAGTAATGAGTTGAGCTTTTTACTTGATATTGGCTGGAATTCACAGAATAATTCTGCCATTTCCTGATCCCAAGTCTTCCTGGAGGCCTGCTGCCTCCACCATAGTGGAGCCAAGTTAATGGGAGTATACATCCGAGGCGCTGTCCTGTTGGGCTGATGTATCGTGCAGGGTGTAAGCTTTCGAGGTGCCATCTCTTCAGCCTCTTCCACTTTTTCTAATCGTCCTCTAGGGTTGCTTGATCTTCAGGGTCTCCAGTCAGGTTGTATCTTCTGCAATCAGCACGTTAATCCTGGGGTGGGATTCTAAAAGAAATTGACACTGTAGCCTATGGTTCCTGACAAGCAAAGAACTAAGCGCATCCATATCTTTCTAAACAGGGATAGTTGTGGAAGCTTGTGGATGCTTTTGTGCATATTTATTTATTTTATTTATTTTAAAAAATTGGATGCCGTCCATTACTGTCATCTCTAGACGGCTTCCATTATTTCAGAACTTCAATAAAATAAGATAAATTAACTATTTCACACTGAGCTTCGTTAAAATAAATAAATCATTTCACAATTAAAATTACTATGTGTTAAAATACTGGCCATATAAAATGGTCTTGACCTGGTGAAAAATATATAATGACGGCGCCAGGCGGACCTCTCTAGGGAGCGGGACTATGACATTCCATAGTCAGAGATATTGTCACATCTCCCGCATTTACAACCAAGAAAAGTCAGTTATCAAAAGAAGGGTACCTTGGCAGAGGTGGACACTAACGAAGGAAATCCATGTGGCTCCTTTACAACAAAACAAGTCTTTACTTAAAGACTGAGCCCAGATAGGATTCCTGCTGAGAAAAAGGACACTGAAAGGAAAAACAGGAAGCCTCTGGTGGACCAGAAGCTGAACTCTGAACTTCCTCCTGGAGGTCTGGGTTATTTATGGATGTAAGCCGCCCCGAGGCTTCAGTGAATGGGGCGGCATAGAAGTCTCCTAAATAAATAAATAAACGCCTTGCTTCTCCTCAGCAAGAGCTATGAAATTCATGTTTTTCAACTGGCATTTGATTCCGCAGGCTGCCTGTTAGCCTATCCTCTTGAAGTAAGTGCTTGTACTTTCATTCCATTGCTATTGTTCAGTGTGTGTGTGGTTTTAATGACCTGTCTTAATCTATTTAGAAAAGTAGCCACTGAATTAAAATAAATAAAATGTCAGAAAGGGAAATGAAAGTCACAGCACAAGGAGCAACATTTTATCTAGACCAGAAAAATTCTCCCAAGGCCGCCTAAACGGTCTAGTCATTTGATGCAGTTCCAAAAAAAGGGAATTCAGAATTTCTAAAGGGGCTTTGATGTATATCTGATAAAAGAGACTTTTGCTTACTTTCCTTGCAGCGATGGGGTGCCATGGTAGCACACACTGCATATGCATTTCCATATCAACATCAGTCCTTTAAAAACTAAAATTAAAAGGGTCTAAGGGTAGAGGGAAAATTGGTTTGTTTTGCATTTTAATGTGAATTTATGTAATTTTGCACTTTCAAAGCCATATAAAGACCAAAGTTATCATTCTAACTTCATACTTCTCTGTATTAGCTATAGAGTTCACCAATCAAGCAATACATACAAAAATGGGGATATTCATGAAATTAATGTTCAAAAATGCACTGAATTAGGAAAATGGCTTGCAGAAACTATAGCTTAAGGCAAATTTGTGACACAAGTTCATGTATTTGGAGAAATGTGCACAAATAAGTATACATATTTGCATGCAAGTTTTTAAAAAATCCAAAGTTTGGGATGAAGTAAAAGTAGGGGGGAAATGGTAGACAAAAGCCACTGAAATTGCAGTTTGCCCATCCCTAGTTTTGGTCCCCTAGCTTTAAAAACAGATCAGTCACAAGCATGTTTCATTTTGAATGGGATTGTGGTTCAGGAGGCTACGATTATGCTTGTGCAAATCTCCGAATCGTTATGTCCTATCCTTCAGATACTGCTCTTACCCACTCAGAGAGAAAGACAGGTACCCCGTAGACCAGATAGGATGGAGAGTGAGGTTATTCAAATAACTTTCATTCTATGCTTGCATTACAAACATGCACGAAGTAGCTTACAAAAAATGCATACCCCCAAAATAAAAACAGGAGCAAGAATAAATAAAATAGCACTCCTGTTTTTGTTTTTTTAAAACTGGCACATCATGAAAGGACAGCTGTGCTCCCCTGGTTAAGAGAAACATGGTCAGGTTAACCTGGCCCCCAAGTGAGGAAGCTGGGGGAATTGGCCAAAGAAAATGCTAAATATAAAACTTCTGCCTCACAGGTGATTGGGCTCTGGACACAAGCAGGTAAGCCCAAGAAAAGAGAGGTCAAAGAGGTAAGAGTACCTGTGCTGATGTGGAGAAGTCCTTTGCCTTGGGCTGAAGGGTTCCTCTCTGTGCGGTACTCTGGGATTTATCACACATTTTATAGCTCACGAAGGCATTGGTGGATGTGATCTCACGCTCGAGGGTAAGCTGAGGAGCAAACTCATGGTTGAGTCCTGCAGGCTGCTGTTTCTAGAAAGCAGTGACTTCTGGGAGAATGTAGTGACTTGCCCGATTCAACAGAAGCCTTTGTTGGTATGAGCCTCTTCCATCAGCAGCCCAAAGGTATTGCAGACCCTTTGGAAAAGCTCCGCTGATTTTCCTCCCATATTCAAAACATATTCTGGAATAGAAAAGGCAGTTTGGGACACAGGTGAATTCACCCAACCATTTGAGTCTTAACACATGTTGGCTCTAGACAGGGGAGAGATATTTCTGCAAAGGCAATTGTAAGGTGGGTGAGCTGGTTGGCAAGAGCAAACTAGAGGGGCTGAACAACCGAGTGTTCTCGTTGCTCAGCTTTCATCAATAAACCTCCACTCACACCTCTGCTAAACGTCACGGCTTAATCATCCCTTTTGCTGGTTTGCCCTCCTTCCCCCATCTTAGATGCTGGCCTTATTCATTGTAAGATGATGATGTGAATACAGTATTTATTTATTTACTTATTTATTTATTTATCAATTTATATCCTGCCTTTTTCCTACAAAGGGCTCAAGGCAGCTTACATCTCCTCCTCCATCTTATCCCCACAACAACAACCCTGTGAGGTAGGTTGGGCTGAGAGTCTGTGACTGGGCCAAAGTCACCCAGTTGGCTCCATGGCTGAGCGGGGACTAGAACCCAGATTGCCTGAGTCCCAGTCCCAGGCTCTTAACCACTACGCCACACTGGCTCTCACTCTGCTATGCAGCCATGAGGATTGTTTTTTATTTTCATTTTATTATAATTTCAAAAAGTTGAATTCAGGAAACAATCTATGTCCCAAAAGCCATGCTATGCAACTGAGACCCAGGGAATCACAAATACCTCTGCTTTCAAAGTCTGCTAAATCTGCTGTATTGGGTAAGGCTTGTCTTCACCATCTAGTTCAGCTGAAGCAGGGAGATGAGTTCCTTCCTCCTCCTCCTCCTCCTCCTCCTCCTCCAGAGAGAAGCCAGGCGGTAGGAACACAGCTATTCCCATGTCTTATGGCAAAGCACACCCGATTAGTCAGGTTGGTGGCACAGCACTGTTCATGCAGAACGCGTGACCCTTCACTTTCCCCAGAACAGTGCACACTTAAAAGCAGTTTCCTCTGCTCCAGTGTGTTGCACCGGTTGTGCAAAGCTGGGATAGATGATTGATGATAGATGATAGCTGGAACAATGATTGGCCCAAAGAGGCCAGAGGGTTTCATGGCTATACAAGCTGGGTATCCCTTAATTCTTTATTTTTTTTTAATAAGTTTTATTCTAAATAAACCTAATACAAAGAAAAACTAAAAACAACATCGATCATTGGAGACATCGGACCTACTGGGTCAGTCCCACATTTTTTCTTTTTATGCTAACTTATGAACATATTTAAATCTATGCGAAGCCCCGTTTCACTAGCCAATAATAAAAAGAGTCCCAAGTTTGATAGAAGTCAGTATCTCCTTTCTCCTTCAGTGACAAAGTCAATCTGTCCATTTCTGCACAGTCCAAGATCTTTTTTAGGATCAGTTCATCAGTGGGTGGCTCTTCACTCTTCCAGTGTTGGGATATCCCTTAATTCAACATTAACAGCTACATCTTTCTACCAGGAGGAACAGAGATTACATCCGAGCACCCAGTTATCTCCACATGCTTTGGATTCGAACTCCCAGCAGCCCCACCCCCTATGGTCAATGGTCAGGAATTGGGGGAGTTGGAGTCCAAGACATCCTAAATGGCACCAAGCTGCCTGACCCTGCCTTTCTAAAAGGGTTTTCCCACTAAATACCTATCAGCTGGGGGATCAGGAGCATGCAAGCAGCTTGCCGTTTTCTGGACCAGGGACACTGTCTTAACCTGCACTTACTCCTAACGAGAAATGGGACTTTCTAAACAGGTCACCCCACCTCCAGTTTCAATCTGATGTTACAAAGGAACTCATTCCGTCATATACACTCACATTATATTTATATATTGGATATTGCTTGGTATTTGTACCTCCTTTTTCCATTCCCCATAAGAATAATGGTTCTGAGCTAATAAAGCAAAAATTACTTTCATTGGAAATAAAACAGTGTAATTTCAACCCCTCCTGGGCAGCTTAAATTAAGAGGTTTATTTGGAGCCAGTGAAGTGCTAATGAACCAACCCAGAATACTGCAGATTCAAAACTTCAAGTCACTGAATTGGCTTCAGGCCTACAGAAGAAAGTAATGTTCTTGTGCTGCTTCTTATTTCTGCAAAGATCCATAATGTTTCTTTCCTAGGGAAATACAAAGAATCAGTTAAACAAACAAAATGTTTGTATCAATAGGATAGGAGGGCTACAGTATTAACCTTTTATTTAGTCACTTATGCTTCCCACAGAAGAGACCAGCTCAAGTTATGGGTTGCCTTTTGCCATTTTTCTTTTGTGTATACCAAAATTGCATTTTTCCATTATAAAATGCAAAAAAATGGAGCTAGTAATTCAAGTCCATCCCCAACAGAAAGTTGACCAGAAAAAATGCCTTGCTAAGTTCCTTCCCTCCCCATGCTGAACAAGAAGCCATAACAGGAGCAGAAACTACACGCAGGAAGCTCTGGATTAAAGGCACATTGGC